GATGAGAGAGAACAGAAAACATAGATGAAGAGAGCTATGAGCTGGGTATGGTGATGCACACCTTTTTCCCAGCACTAGGGAGGCAGAGGCAGGTAGATCTGAGTTCAAGCCCAGCCTGATCTACAGAGTGAGTTCAGACCAGGAGGGTTACATAAAGAGACTCTGTCTCAAAAGAAGCAGGGAAGGAACTATGAGATCCACTTCCAAGCGAGACAGAACATCAATAAATAAACACAGACAGGGTTTTAAAACGGAAAAAAAAATAAAGGAAGAAAATTGGGCTTGAGAGCAAGAACAAGGTACCCAGTTTTATTTACTTCTTATTTCTTTACATCTTGCTGATGTGTTCCCTTATGTCCCATTCAGAGCATAAGCTAGCTGTGGGTGAGGTGCTAGGATCCTCCCTTAGAGAACAACAAAAGAAAACTTGAACTGTTCTCTAGAGTGTATCAAGGTTTGCAATGGGCCTACAATAGAGTGAACAGACTTCAGCTATTCTCGAACTGAATAGTATGAGTGTGCCCCTCGTACTGAAGTCTAGAAAGTTCATCCTCTCTTGCTCTTTGCAAATTTAAAAATTTGCATAATTTAATTGCAGTGCATTATTTAATAAATGCCAAATGAAATATTTATGATCTATCTCTAAAGACATAAATTATTCAGATCTTCTGAAACCTTTCGGATACAGGTAAAGCAGGGGATTAGAAGGTGTTTGAAAGAGAAAACTTGTGTGATGGCACAGGGAATAAACTCCATCTTAGAAGTATAAATGAAAGGGAAGCTGTCACTCCGGAGTGTTTGACATTGTCAACAGTTTATAATTCTGTATAGTAATTAATCGCCAACACTTTTTCTAGACTAGAGTGACAGGTAGTGAGTGGGTAGAAACGCATCAAAGTTTTAGAACATGCCATTTCAATTCAGCTGTCTACCGTGGTACCGAGATCATGATCCTGGTGTCCTTTACTGCAGCTGGTAAAGCCTTGCTTTACCGTGAGTGCGTTTATAAGTGACAATGCAGTGCTGTACGTGAGTTTAACGACACCTGCTTTTAAATATAGTGCTTAAAGGATTTCCAGGCCTTTGGAATAAAGATTAGGAATTCCTGCATCTTTGGTTGATTATCTTAGTAGCATGTGTTGTTCTAATAAAAGAGTGCATGGAATGAAAATATTGTGCTCTAAAGCTTTAGATTACCCTTGAAAAATAATTGAATGAAAGCTGACGCTACTTTTTTTATTCATATCTCAGAGTGAGCCCATGAGGAAGAAACACAAAATTGCTTTTCTTAATAAAACAAACTACAAAAAATAGTCCAAAACCAAATACTCTTGAAAACTCTCAGGAAATCCTTCTGTCAAAGTAATACTACTTTTCAAGTCTGGACTTCTGTGGCATGCCCTTATGAATAAGCTTTCTAAGGCCAGGCGTGATGGTGCATTTCTACAATCAGAGCACCCGGCAGGGTAAGGCTGGAGGACTGTGCAGTCAGGGTCAGTCTGGGCTATGTAGAGACAGACTCTGTCTCAAAACAATACACAGATAAGTTAAGCTGCATGTGGCTCAGCACATGGTCACAGGAATGTATGTCCTCCCTGAGTTCTCCATTGTCCAAAGCTTAAAAGGAATGTGTAAAGGCTATTTCTCTCTGCCCTTGAACTAGGGAAATCTTCTACCATTACAGAACACGCTTCCTGACATGAAGCGAGGTCTTGGTGTGTTTTAACCCAACGCTCCTGCAAGGTGTCTTCTTTGCAGACAAGATTGCTTAGACTAGCCTAAGGGGTTGCTTGTGGGACAGTTGGCCTAGCTGTAGTTTCCTGAGCTCAACCACAGATGTTAATGAAGACCTCAGATGTGCTCTTCTCTCTCTCTCTCTCTCTCTCTCTCTCTCTCTCTCTCTCTCTCTCTGTGTGTGTGTGTGTGTGTGTGTGTGTGTGTGTGTGTGTGTGTTTAAACACTACTGTGCCTTCCTAAGAAGGTGGAAGGAAACAGCCCAGTACATAAAGATGGTTCTGTATTAAGGATAGTAGTGTCGGTATGTTTTCCATACCTGTGAAACAACCATGGCCTGATTTTCTGTCCTAAGTCCTTAGAGCTTCTTCATGTTTTATCAGTTGTGGGCAATAAATGAGAGTATCTATTTGCCATATAGTCTAGGAAGAGAGATTGTTTCAGTACAGGTGAAAAGAGGGTAGATGATGGATCATAGTCCTCAGGAATAATGTCCAGTTGCAGTACCAGCACCCAGGAGACAAGTTACCTCAAGTTGGAGGTTACCCTGTGCTACATCACCCAAGACTAGCATGAGCTATCCCAAGACCATGTCTCAAAACAATCACATGGGTAATAATAATTTCATAATCTCTCTTTCTCTCTCTCTCTCTCTCTCTCTCTCTCTCTTTCTCTCTCTGTATACATGTGTGTGCTCACACATGTATAGGGAGGGTAGAGGTCAGCATGTAGTATATTTCTCAAACTCTAGTCATCCTGATTATTTGAAATGGAAAATCTCACTGGGACATGGCATTCAGCCACTAAGCTTGACAAGCCAGTAATCACCAAGAACCCAGCTGTCCCTGTCTCTGCAGTGCTGGGATTACAGGTGCTCACCACCACACCCAGCTTTTCACAGGAGTGTTAAGGATCAAACTCAGATCCTCAGGCTTGCAAGACTAATGCTTCATCCACAGAACTGTCTCTCCCTTCCAGACCCTCATATTTCTTCTGACCCCGAGAAATCTCTTTTGTTGACTTGAAGGTACTTTTATAATGTTGACCAGAAATTCCTGGTTGGTTTTTTTTGTTTTGTTTTGTTTTTTATCTAGTCTCTTCATTAGCAAATTTCTCTGGACAGTGACTTTCTTTTTCCAGTCTGGGTTTCGTACTTGTAGTCTAGATCCTAGTGTGTGAGGACTGGCCCCAAAGTTCCATGAGGCCAAAGGAAGAAAGGCAGACAGATGCAGAAATTATTGGGAAATTGACACAGAAGTGTGGCTCTCAGTGGCAGAAACACCAGCAAGAGCTCCTCAGTGTGGATCACAAAAGGGTATATTTACAGGGTGGTTCTAATATGGCCATTTTGTCTAGACTCTACCTGTTTTATCTTGAGATACTGTTAAATACTCAGGCACATGCCTAGAGCAGGGACTAAGAGTAAAGCCTGGTGAATCCACTCGTTTTTGTTGTTGTTGTTTTGTTTTGTTTTTTCTGTTTATGGTGTACTGGGAAACCATGCAGGCAAGGCCAGCTTCCTACTCAGGGTCAGTCAAGGAGGTTATCAAGATGGCGGCAGCTACAACAAGCTGCATAAAATTGTACATTGACAAAGTGGATACGAGACACAGTTGCAGAAAATACAATGTAAGGACATGCCTGAAAAGCATAGTGGAGGTTTGTGGAGTAATGAATCGTCTGGAATCAGAAGCAGAAATTAAAAACCATCAGTGTTAGAGCAGGAGGTAGCAATCCTGGAAATGATAATGTGTGAAGCCATAAAATCATTTCTAAGTCTGTAAAACTGACAGTAGGATTTAACCTTTTCTTCACATCTGTATATTGCAGAGGTTGATTAGGTAGAACTTTCTGACTTGTGAGTCTCCAAGCTGTCCTCTCTAGTTTTGTGGTCATTGCTGCTACTCCATGGCTGGCTCTGAAAGACTGTTTTCTTTTGTTTGCAGTAAGGTCTTAGTATAAATAATGAAGCCCAAGCTGGCATGGACCTTGCAGTCCTCCTGTGTCAAGCTCTTGAATACTGGGTTTGCAGTGTGCATCACCAGATCTTGAGAACTGTGCTATGAGATGTGGTCTTTGGAAGTACAAGAGCCCTGTCTTCGTTACTGTTTCATTGCTGTAAAGAGACACCATGGCCAAGACAACACTTACAAAAGAAAGCATTTAATTGGGGCTTGCTTAGAATTTCAGAGTTAGTCCATCATTATCATGACAGGGAACATGGTGGCAGGCAAGCAGGCATGGTGCTGGAGAAGTAATTGAGAGGTTTACATCTCAACTCTGTAGACAGCAGGCTGAGAGAGAGACAGAGACAGAGGCAAAGGAGAGAGACAGAGACAGTGGGCCTGGAGAGGGCTTTTGAAACCTGAAAACCCACTCTTCCTGAAAACACACTCCTCCAAGAAGGGTGTTCACACGCCCTAATCCTTCCAAATAGTTCATCAACTGAGGACTAAGTATGCAAATATAAGCCTGTAGGGGCTATGTTCATTCAAACCACCAGAAGCACCTACTTCAACCTGTGAATCCAGGCAGAACAGCACAGGCCACAGTGATGAGCAACCTGGCATCTAGGCATAGATTTTACTGCTGGAAAGCCTAGTGCCATTCTTCAAATTGTTTAATAGTCCTGGAATAGTTATTGAATCCTTGTGAGCATCTAAACTGTCAAATGAGAAGATGGAGGAAGAGTAGAGGGGAAATAGAAGTGGGGAGAGAATGAGGAGGAAGAGGAGGAGGAAGAAAAGAGCAACTGTGGTTGCTGCCTGTACGATATCAAGCTAATCAACATTCTAACATGGGCAGGGAGGTACCATGTGTTCCCAGCCCTGAGAGCTATTGACGGTTGATGCTTCAGGGTGAGGGAGAAACAGATTCTTCTTTCTTTCTTTTTAAAGTTGGACTACATTCCAGAGGATGGACCTAAGCTTAGGCACATATGGCCAGCACAAACTAGATTCCGTGGCTTATTTAAAAAAATAAACAGGGACAAGAAGGGGTAAGGAAATGGTGGTGGATCTGGGAGGAGCTGTGGGGAGGAGTGAGATGGGAAGTAAATATGGTCAAAATACATTGTATGATATTCTAAAACAAACTGATAAAAATGTGCTTTTTTTAAAGAATAAAAGAATGTAAGACTACTTTTTTTTTAAATCTGTTAAATCTCTTTACAAAAGAATGGAGAACTCAACTTAACACCCTGATAAGAGTGACCAGTGGATTAATTAAAACATGGTGACTGTGTTTGGTTCCCATCTCTACTCCAGGTGTTGCCACATCTGCAAACTCCCGGGGAGAGTTATGGGGATTCGAGTGCTTCGTTTCTCCCTGGTGGTCATCCTGGTGTTACTGCTCGTAGCCGGAGCCTTGACCAACTTACTACCCAACATCAAAGAAGACAAAATGCTCACTCTGCGCAGGGAGATCAAATCCCAGAGCAGGCCCTCCCTGGACTCCTTCACTCTCATCATGCAGACATACAACAGAACAGACCTCCTACTAAGACTCCTGAATCATTACCAGGCAGTACCGAACCTGCACAAAGTGATTGTGGTATGGAACAACGTGGGAGAGAAGGGACCAGAGGAGTTATGGAATTCTCTAGGGCCTCATCCAGTCCCTGTCATCTTCAAACCACAAACCGCAAACAAAATGAGAAACCGACTCCAGGTCTTCCCTGAACTAGAAACCAATGGTGAGTCAGAGCTGGGTTCTGAGTCTGGAAAGGCTCCTGAGGACTGATGGGTGGACTTCTGGCTTTCGGGGAAGTTGTCGTTAAAACAAACAAACAAACAAAAACACTTTGAGACACTTAAGAAGCAGTTTCCAAGATTCCAACAGGAAGCTTCTTGGGGGAGGAAATCCCATACATCTTGTAATGATAACAAAGGGACTATGGTATGCTGTATGGCATAGTATACACAGTGTATGTTATTCACTACAGAAAAAGTCATGAGATGACTGTCCTTATCAGGGTTACTGTCACTGTGATGAAACATCATGACCAAATGCAACATGAGGAGGAAAGGGTTCATTTGGCTTACACTTCCACATCAGTATTCATCACTGAAGAAGTCAGGACAGGAATCTGTAGGCAGGAGCTGAAGCCGAAGTTTTGGAGGGGTGTTGCTTTCAGGCTTGCTCCCCATGGCTTGCTCAGCTTGGTTTCTTTATAAAACCACCAACCCAGGGACTAGAACCATGCACAATGGGATTAGCTCTCCCCACTCAATCACTGATTAAGCAAATGCCCTACAGGCTTGCCTACAGCCTGATTTTATGGAGACCTTTACTCAGCAGAGGATCCCTCCGCTTAGATGACCATACCTGTGTAAAGCTGACATAAAGCCAGCCAGCACAGTGACATTTACACGTAATGTATTTGTATCGCTCTTTTCTTCCCAGGGTGTGATTTTCTTAAAAGTACGTTGGCTTTTTTTTAAGGTTTCATTAGTTTCTGGGTTGATGGATTATAATTTAATGATAATATTTTCCCCTCAGACACTTTTTTTTTTCCTACCACACAAAACCCTTTAAGAATACATCCTTAATTTACTGATTGGGTTCAAAAATACTCAATTTGGATGGTCTGTATAGACACAACTATATCTTACTCATTTTTTTTTACTCCTTTCCAGTCTGTTCAATGTATCTTTATTCTTTTCATTGCAGCGGTGTTAATGGTCGATGATGACACACTTATTAGTGCTCAGGACCTTGTTTTTGCTTTCTCAATTTGGCAGGTAAGGTTGCTATATCTTTTATGATGCTGTATGGATAAAGTTTTATCCATGTAATACCTAATCAGGACAGCTTAGTTTAATGTGGAGTCTACTAAAACATAGATGAAATTACCATAGGCCAGTCAAGAGTTTCCATTAAGACAGCATGAAAGTTGGCTTAACATTTTGGTGTAATAGGAAGAAAGGGTAGAATTAGCTTTCCAAAAACAATGAAATGATCTGGTACAGCCAAGACTACAGTACAGAAAAATTTTCCCCAGACCATTTGTGTCTCAAATGAAAAAATGCATTTGTGTACTAACAATGTAAGAACTTTGTTATAAAAGAAAGCATTTCTCACCTGAACAAAATTGCATCCTGGTTCAGACCATGTAGAGGAATTCTGAAGTAATAATTCCATGTGTGTCATTGTAGCGGCAGGTGTTCCTTTTGGCTCGGTTTTCCCTAAGTGCCAGCTTGAATGAACAAGCGAAAATTGCTCGCTAGCTCTCCCATGAACATATACTGATAATAGCCAAGCTTTACAAGCTGCATTACAAATTACCTGAATCCGTAACTGTGTGCAAAACGTTTGATAGATTATCAGATTTGCAGTAAGTCCTTCCAAGGCTACCTAGAGCATAACAGCATGGGACATGAAGGGTATATGCCAATACCGGTGCCCTGCCAATGCCAGACTTCTAAAAGCTGCCGGTTTGGTACTTTTTTTCTCTATTAACAGCTTTTTTCTGCCCTGTAAATAAAATTTTCTTAGGCAAAAAGGTCTCCAGCTCTGGGATTTCTGTTTAAGAGTTAAAAAAACAAAACAAAACAAACAAACAAACAAAAAACAGTCTACCCTACATAGAAACATAGGATCAGGTACAATATAAAGAATGTGATTGGTTATAGCAATTTGAATAAAAGTATAAAGAACTATAAATGGTACTTAAAATTATATTCCTAAAATATCAAGAACCATTTTAGTCCATTGACCAGGAGTATCTGACTATGCGGTGAGCTTGCATCTCTTCATAATTTGGTGTATTTTCTTTTTTTTTCCAAGTTAAAAGTTTTTGGTTTTTTAATTAATTAATTTTTTATTAATTACAGTTTATTCACTTTGTATCCCAGCTGTAGCCCACTCCCTCATTCCCTCCTAATCCCTCCCTCCCTTCCTCATCTCCTCCCATGCCCATCTCCAGGTCCACTGATAGGGGAGGTCCTCCTTCCCTTCCTTTCTGACCCTTGCCTATCAGGTCTTATCAGGACTGGCTGCATTGTTCTCCTTTGTGTCCCGGTAAAGCTGCTCCCCCATAAGAGGGAGGTGATCAAAGATGAACTCAGCCACTGAGTTCATGTCAAAGACAGTCTCTGTTCTCATTACTAGGGAACCCACTTGGAGACTGAGCTGTCATGGGCTACATATATGCATGGGTTCTAGGTTATCTTCATGCATGGTCCTTGGTTGGAGTATCAGTCTCACAAAAGACCCCTGAGCCCTTTGGTTCTATTGCTCTCCTTGTGGCAATAGACTGGCACTCCAGTCCCCTCCAGGTCTTTCTATCTCCCCCTTCTTTTATAAGATTCCCTGCATTCTGCCCAAAGTTTGGCTATGAGTCTCAGCATGTGCTTTGATACCCTGCTGGGTAGAGTCTTTCAAAGGCCCTCTGTGGTAGGGCCTGTCCCCTTTTTTCTCCCTCTTCTGATGTCCATCCCATTTGCCTTTCTGAGTGAGGATTGATCATCTTACCCCAGGGTCCTCCTTCTTGCTTAGCTTCTTTAGGTGTACAGATTTTAGTGTGTTTATCCTATATTATATGTCTAATATCCACTTATAAGTGAGTCTGTCCCATGTGTGTCTTTCTGCTTCTGGGATACCTCACTTGGAAATCATAATACCTCACTGTTAATAGAGAAAAAAAAGTACCAAACTGGCACAAAAGGATGATCTTTTCTAGATCCCACCATTTGCCTGCAAATTTCATGATTTCCTTGTTTTTAATAGCTGAGTAGTATTCCATTGTGTAAATGTACCACAATTTCTGCATCCAGTCCTCAGTTGAGGGACATCTGGGTTGTTTCCAGGTTCTGGCTATTATGAATAAAGCTGCTATGAACATATTTAAGCAAATGTCCTTGTTGTATACTTGAACATATTTTGGATATATGCCTAGAAATGCTATAGCCGGATTTTGAGGAAGCACTATTCCTTATTGTCTGAGAAAGCACCATATTGATTTCCAAAGTGGTTGTACAAGTTTACATTCCTACCAGCAATGGAGGAGGGTTCCCCTTTCTCCACATCCTCTCCAGCCTGTGTTGTCACTTGAGTTTTTGATCTTAGCTATACTGATGGATGTAAGGTGAAATCTCAGGGTCATTTTGATTTGCATTTCCCTGATAACTAAGGACATTGAACATTTCTTTAAGAGTTCCTCTCCATTCGCTATTCCTCTATTGAGAATTCTCTGTCTAGCTCCATACCCCATTTTTTAATTGGATTACTTGGTTTGTTGGTGTTTAACTTCTTGAGTTCTTTATATATTTTCGATATTAACCCTCTGTCAGATATAGGGTTGGTGAAGATCCTTTCCCAATCTGTAGGCATTTGGTGTGTTTTCAAAAAAAAGGGAGAGACAGTCACCTGTGCCAATACATGTACAGTATTCCCATCCCCTTGGTGCCTTACCCTGCTGTCCTCTTGCCTGTGAGATTTTTTGAGAACATGGAGTGTGTAATGGTACATCTTTGGAGCCTACTAGCCTTTTTCCTCTATCCATCACCTGAACATCCTCTCTGCCTCCAGCAACACAGTTATCAAAATCCTCAGTGTCCCCATCTGCCTTAGCCAGTGACCTTTCCAGCCGTCTAACCTCTCAGGGCTTGGGAATCGCCCACTCACAGTGTGCACAGCCACCTTACACTCTTGCACTCCTTTAATTAAAATTTAATTCAGCCTAGATTGTGTGTGTGTGCACAACCCTAGCCTTGATAGGTGAAACTCAAACTAGGTGAAGTTTACATTATTCACAATAATGAATTAAACTTGTATACGTTCAATCCTCTAAGTTCAGTGTTTTCTTTTGTTTGCTGGTTTTTTCTTTTTTGTCTTACCTTTCATAAGTTCTTCTTTCATAGAATATTTTTGCTACTATCTATCCATTCTTCAAAGATCTTGCCATGTACCTTATAGGTATATATATATGTAAATAATTACATAATTTATATTGTATTTCCTTATTCAAATTATGTTTTTGAAAAGGGAGTATAAAAATCTGAGAGGGCAAAAAAATATGACATTGTTTAAATCAATAGTGACTTTCAAGAACATTAAAATCAACAATGAAAGGCAGTAAAATCAGTTCTGTAGTTGGGCATTAGTGACACACACATTAATCCCAGAACTTCGGAAGCAGAGACAGGCAGATCTCTTTGAGTTCCAGGTCAACCTGGTCTACAGAAAGAGTTCAAGGACAGCCAGAGCTACACAAAGAAACCCTATCTTGGGGGAGGGGTGAGACTATCAGTTCTATGGATGTATAATTTTATAAATACTTAAGAGATTAGAATAGCTTTTCAAAATGATCACTTGCATCTTATATCCTATAATTTTGATGAGATCAGCTTTTCTTTTTTGTTTGTTGTTGTTTGGGGGAGGGATTTGTTTGTTTTAGTTTTTCAAGAGAGAGTTTCTCTGTGTGTAACCCTGGCTGTGCCAGCACTCACTCTGTAGACCAGGCTGGCCTCAAACTCACTGAGATTCTGCCTGCCTCTGCCCCGAGTGCTAGGATTACGAGTGTGCACCACCACTGAGCCCAGCACAATCAGCTTTTCTTACAGCAAACTTTGAAGGACTAGACTCTCTGATGACTAAAATTTGTTTGGATGAGATGTTAGAATCAGGAGACTGTTTGTAAGGTAAGAATTTTTCAGAGAGGTTTTAGTTGTGTTGGAATTTAAGCTGCAAATTTATGAGGAAACAAAGTTATGAAGTTTTTTTAGAGTTGAAGGAAATTAGAGTGAAAAATGAGAAAAATGTAGAAATAAAGAGTAAGGAAAAGTTTATGAGTCAGCTACATCCTTGGTAATAAGTAAGCATTTTTGTCTTTATCCACATTTAATTGTTCCTTTCCTCCTCTTTTTAGCAATTTCCTGATCAGATTGTAGGATTTGTACCTAGAAAACACGTCTCTACATCATCAGGTATCTACAGTTATGGAGGTTTTGAGCTGCAGACACCTGGGTTCGGAAATGGTGACCAGTACTCTATGGTGCTCATTGGAGCCTCCTTCTTCAACAGCAAATACCTTGAACTCTTTCAGAAACAGCCAACAGCCGTCCATGCGTTGATCGATGAGACTCAAAACTGTGATGATATTGTTATGAATTTCATCATCACCAAGCATACTGGGAAGCCTTCAGGGATATTTGTGAAACCTATAAACATGGTCAGTTTGGAGAAAGAAACCAATGGCTATTCTGGAATGTGGCATCGGGCAGAGCACTTTCTGCAGAGATCTTACTGTATAAATAAGCTTGTTAATATCTACAATGGCATGCCCTTAAAATACTCCAACATTATGATTTCCCAGTTTGGCTTTCCATATGCCAACCATAAAAGTAAAATCTGAACAGGAAACAAACAAAAACAAACCCAAAACATTGCGAGATTTTTGAGTGGCTTACATTTTTGTTTTGTGAACAACACCATGAAGTTTTATCTAGTCCACAAGTCTCTATAATAGAAAAAAGCATATGCAGTACTTCTAGTATATAAAACCCATAAACTTCAAAAGCCAAGAAGCCAGTCTAGCCGGTAACCCAGCTAGGCTTTCTTGTGAAAAGCTTTGTCCAAGGTTGTAACTTCTTGGTTGTGATATTATTGTTTACATCTCGAGACTGCTCTCCAATTTGTTTGAGCCCTGGCATTTGCCTTAAGGACCTACAGCAAGCTGCTTCTAGGACCAGAGACTCAAAAAGAGACAATTTTCAGCTTTTCAGTGAAGGTTGATTGTTTTTATTTGAAGCCTGAAATGCTTCTTTAGCTAATTAATGCCTGCCGTATAGGGAAAAGCCATTTGAGGAGAGCTTAGTCTGAACCCCATGTCGAAAGCCAGGAAAATTCCTGGTTGCCAGTGTCCTTTGTGGCCCTTCTAACCAGTATCAACTGTGCCCAGCATGGTTTTGACAAAGCTGTCAGTGCTGGTATTTTGCTTTTAAGTGACTGGGAGGGTATGTTTTCATGGCTGACCATTGTTTGCTTGTTATCATTGTTGGTTTTTCTTTCTTTTCTGTGAGCCTACACTGCATGGATCACTAAAATGTGCAGCCCATGTTTCTTATATGCAACCTATATACAGCAAGGAGTAAATGTGTTCCTGCAATCTGTCACTGTGTGTGACCTTGAGAATGTGCATTAGTTCTTATGTTTTACAGAATGTATTTAATAAATATGTCTAAAGTAACCTCTGAAAGAATGGTTAAGTAGAAGCTAGCAGAAATTAAAAACCTTAGTATCAAAGATCTTTATTATTAAAGCATAGGTTATCTTGTGGGTATTTAATAATTGTATTACACAGTAATGTTTGCATCCAGAACCCAGAATTTTGTTGGGATTTTTTTTTTTTTTTTGAGCCCCAAGACACTATTCATTATGACGAAATTTTAATTACAAGTTGTAGAGGGAAAAAAAGAACTGAGCCATCATGGAGAAGGCTGGGGGGTACCCAGGTGTCCACTGTTGCTATTGCCCACTCCATCCTTTTAGTTTATCCTTTCCCGGAACTACTGACAGGGATCACTATCAGGCCTCTGTGTATCACTTCTTCTTTTTATATAAGGCTTAAACATTCTCAAAGGTGTGAAAATAGAATAATGACAGCTGAAGTTCTACTACAAGATCTTCCTGCCGTCAGTTCAGTGTCTGTTTGTCTAACAGTAGTTGTCTATGTGTGTCTTAATGCAATCATACATACATATTTTTAAATTTTTTTATTTGACCTCATTAAAAGTCATGTCAGTTATCCAATTTCTCCGACTTTAGCTGTACAGTTTTGCCTGTTGGTAGTCCACCATCAAATAAATAAACGTCAACTGTTCCCATGGTCGGTGTTAATAGCTGAGCACACTGCTTCTGTGGTACTTTATGTATGTCTCCCATACTCTACAATACTACTCACCATGAAGTTGAGAACTTGATATACTCACCAGGAGCTAAGTTTTCTGTTGGGAAAATATCCCCATATTTGATTTCCCATGGGTGTTTTAAAGTTTCAGTACAACATTGTAGCATGGGAATTATACCATGTTCTCACATATATAGAGAAACAATCAACAAAAATGCATTTTGGTCTATAAAAGAAAGACTCCTGCTAGACCTTCTAAGACCATCTTTCCATGAATAAATCTTCATGCCCAACATGATCCAAAAATCACTCCTGAAAGCTCAAAACTACACCCTTGAAAGAGTGTAGCTCACAAGTGAAGTCTGCAGGCTCTGCCATTAGACTCTGGGCTAAAATCCTTGCTAGATATCACATTTTTAACTAGTTCAAGCCCCTGTTTCCTCATCAAACTCTGATTGTGTTTCTTCACTCTTCTTAAGGATTTCCTATATATCCTCAAAATTGGAAAACTGAGAATAGATTAATGTTCATGGTTATATTGGGAATTGGTTTCTAAAGGCTAAGAGAAATCGAGTGCCTGGATAGAGGACAAAGTTGTCCCCATTTCAGATGATCAGGACGTTGCTAGAAAACCTAACATCTACCAAGTGAAATACCAAGAGTGTTATCTGTGTCACAGTACACAGGAACATGTGAATTGGTTTTTCATTATTTTCCTTTATTTCAAATACCTTTACCCCCTCTTTGTTTTGAAAACAGTATTTTATTATTAAATAATCTAGGCTGGCATCAAACTCATGGCTCTCCTGCCTAAGTTTCCCAGATTACAGACAGGAGCCATCACACCTGGCCAAGTGTCTATATTCTTAACATTAAAGCAGGAGATATTCGTTTGATCAGTTTTGGCATATTCACAGCAGTGTAAAGAAATTAAAGATTCAGATATGGTGGCTCACATCTGTAATCCCAGCACTCAGAAGGCTGAGACAAGAGAATTCCTATGAAGATTAGCCCTGCTACAGAGTAAGACCCCATACCTATCTATCTATATGTCCTCTGACATCTGTTTGTATACATGTCTGTATGTATGTATACATATGTGTTAAGAGAGAAATGTTTATATGTTTTAGAGAAATAATTAAAAATGACCAACTAACAATGACATTTTTATTCGTATTTCCATAGATCTTTCTGAGTATGTGGTATTTTTTTTTTTAAGAATATAATTTTCAAGGAAGAGTTGTTTTACATTGTGTGTGTGTGTGTGGTGAAGATCACAGGACAACTTTTCAAGAGCCAATTAGCTGTTTACACCATGTATGTTAGAGGCATCAAACTCAGATTCTTAGGCTTTATGGCAAGTGCCTTTACCCACAGAGACATCTTGCCAGCCCTGAACAGATGTTTTAATAGCACTATTTCTTGGTTATTTCACTGTGTGAGTAAACCCTGATCCTGTACTCAGTATGCTCCCATTTCCCTTGCTACCGTCTTACTGTACAATAATGGATAGATCAACAACACTACCTTGCACACATATCTTTGAGCATATCCTGTGATTATTTCTCTTAAAATGGAGTCCAACAAAATTGAACACCTGGATCTATTTACTGGTATTCGTCTCATCTTTCTACAGGTTTTGATACATTGCTGGATTCCTTTAGAAGTGTTGCCATGGTGACACTATTAATAGTCTATCTGAGAACACCTGTTTTCCATCAGCATTCACCACTTCACCATTTCTAGTTCCTGTCATCTACTTATTCCACATAAAATGTTTAAGTGCTACAGGATTTTTTTTAATTTTTATTTTACTTTTATTAATTACAGTTTATTCATTTTGTATCCCAGCTGTAGCCCACTCCCCCATCCCCTCCTTATTGCTGCGACCCTCCCTCTTCTACTCCTATGCCCCTCCCCCATCCAAAGATAGAGGATGTCCTCCTCCCATCTGACCATACTATCAGGCCTCATCAGGACTGTCTGCATTGTCTTCCTCTGTGGCCTGGTAAAGCTGCTCCCCCCTCAAGTGGAGGTGATCAAAGAGCCAGCCCATGAGTTCATGTCAGAGACAGTCCCTGTTCCCATTACTAAGGCACCCACTTGGAGACTGAGCTGCCATGGGCTACATATATGCACGGGTTCTAGGTTATCTTCATGCATGGTCCTTGGTTGGAGTATCAGTCTCACAAAAGACCCCTTTGCCCAGATTTTTTGGTTCTGTTGCTCTCCTTGTGGAGGTTCTGTCCTCTCTAGGTCTATCTATCTCCCCCTTCTTTCATAAGATTCTCTGCACTTGGGAGCTGGAGAAATGGCTCAGAGATAAAAAAAAAAAAAAAAAAAAAAAAAAAAAAACATTGGCTATACTTCCAAAGGTCCTGAGTTCAATTCCCAGCAACCACTTGGTGGCTCACAACCATCCATAATGAGATCTGGTGCCCTCTTCTGGCATGCAGGCATATATGCAGGTCAAATACTATATAAATAATAAACAAATAAAATATTAAAAAAAAAAGATTCTCTGTACTCTGCCCAAAGTTTGGCTATGAGTCTCAGCATCTACTCTGATACCCTGCTGGGTAGAGTCCTTCAGAGGCCTTCTGTGATAGGCTCCTGCCCTGTGCCCTGTTTTCTCCCTCTTCTGATGTCCATTCCATTTGCCTTTCTGAATGAAGATTGATCATCTTACCCAGGGTCCTCCTTGATTAGCTTCCTTAGGTGTATAGATTTTAGCATGATTATCCTATATTATGAGTTCTACAGAATTTTAAAGACTTCTCTTTCACAGACCTTTATGTTGAGAAGGCTGAAAAGGCAGACAAGGAACTGTCCAATGACAGTTCAAGGGCTGTAGAAGCTTCAGGTAACTTTAGAAATTCTGAAAACTATTTCTAGGTTGATATATAGACACATTGCTTACTACCCTGTCTCAGTTTTTGTCTTACTAAGACTCCCAACTTTGTTCTCCCCACTGATAAACACACACACACACCCTAGTTTTTATACACCCCTGTTCTCTCTCCTTTCATAAAGTTTTTCACAACATAAAATCCAATTATTTTCCAACACATTTGTGTTTGGTTCTGACTCTCTTGAACTTCCGTCCCTGCAGTGTGAGGATGAAACACCAGCTCTGAAATTTTACACCATGCACTTGTTTGGGAAGGATGCTGTGTACCAGAAGGAACTTGGCAGTGCTATGGGAACAAAATTATTCTTTAACACAACCACAGGAAAAGGGCGGTGCAGCTAGGAGGTTGTTTTTAAAGTTACTTGTGCAGTATGGTTGTATCAAGATCATACTGTGCAGCATGAATAGGAGAGAGAACAAACCTCTGCAAATACCAAAATATACTTTGATAGGCCCACTGCAATGACAGGATTACTTGTTTATTTGTTTGTTTGTCTTTGCTCTGGAGTCCAGACTGGTCTTTAATTTATTATCTGGGCTAACCTTCAATTATGGTCTTCCTGGGCCAGCCTCTTGATCACTGGGATTATAGGCCAGTGCATCATGGTTGGCTCCAGAAAGGATTCCATGAGCATTTATCTAATCAAAAAGTGACTCTTGAGCCTCTTTTTGTATCTCAGCATTTTGTTTAATTCTGGGAGAAAATATTAACTATCCGATTGAGATGTTTTTAAGTAGTTCTTTTGTTTTAATCACAAGAAAACAGCTTTATTTTATACCAGGGATTAACCTAGACTGGTGTGTGTGTGTGTGTGTGTGTGTGTGTGTGTGTGTGTGTATTTCTAGGAACATCTGGCAATTTGGGAAAAAAATGCTTTCATTTGTTACAACTGGAGGCATGCTGCTCACCACTGATAGGTTAAGGGTGATGTTGCTAAGTATTCACCAATGAGCAGGGCAGATCTGACAGTGACACAGCTCGGAAAAATTCTGCTTGGCATCAGTTTGGAGTCCATTTGGTTGTTAATTATCTACACAGCCTGCTTTCTCACATGTAAGTTGCCTTCTAATGTGTCGCCTGTGTGACAATGCCTATTGGAATGAAAAATCCCAGGGGAAATGTGCTTGTTTGATAAGGCATCCAGTGTGCGATGCAGAGATCACATCTCTGATCAGGAAGCCACAGACATCTCCAGTGATGGCTTATTCTGATTGATTCCCTACCCACTTCTCGACATTCCTCTTTCCATTATCACATCTGAAGAAATACAGCTTGCTTTTCTGAGAAGGACTTGGGGGGAGCATAGTTTGGAAGTGCCAGATAGCAATGTTACATTAATAAACAATACACTGAGTGTTCAAATAACACATCTTGAGTTTGAGAAAGCTGGCATAAATGAGTTGGAAAAAGCTAAATTTAAATTTTAAAGCATATTTACATGTATAAATTTTTGACTTAAACCATAAGCAATACACATCTAGTGAAGGATTCCAGAAAGCGAGCATCAGAGATTTTTTTTTTTTTTTTTTTTGCATAGAACTTTTCAGGCACCTAAGTTATTTAATTTAACTTTTCTACCCTTCCTCATTTATGAGAGAGAAAAGCAAACTAAACAGTTAATAAATCTCTTTTCATTGTAAAGTTTGATGAATCTAAATCAGGGTGTTGAATCAGTCGTTCTTAAAAAGCAACGGTCATGTGCTGGACATGCCATTAAGTTGTAGAGTGTTTGCCTGACATGCACAAAGCTCAGGGTTCAGTCCTCAGCACAGTGTGTGGGAGCACAGGCCTATGCTCCCAGCATACGGAAAGTTGAGACAGGAGGATCGTGAATTCAATGTCATTCTTGGCTACATGGCAAATTTGAGGCTACCGTGGGCTATGTGAAGCTCTACCCTAAACGGAAACAGTAGCAGCCAAGTTTTACTTTCCAGCAAGAGAAAATACTACCCAGGGAATGTCCCTCTCTTGAAACTTGAGGTCCTTATTGCAGCCTAGGCCCCTCAGTCCAGAGCAGTGCTTCAGGGTGAGCTGAGACAGACACATCACTACGTGCCGTAGTCTG